GTCCCTACAGTGTCCGCTATAAAGGGAGTTGACTGTAATTCGTTGCATAATTCACCGCTGTAAAACAGTATTTAAATCAATAAATCAATAAATAAATAATGACTTAGAAGTAGCACATCCACAAAGTGTTCTTCGTCTACCTGATTCCTGGTGGAATTGGAATTTGGAAATGTTGGTTTTTGAGGAGAGGGGAAAACCGGAGTACCCGGAGAAAAACCTCTCGGAGCAAAGGAGAGAACCAACAACAAACTCAACCCACATATGGTGTCGACACCGGGATTTAAACCCGGGCCACATTGGTGGGAGGCGAGCGCTCTCACCACTGCGCCATCCCTTGCTCCCCAAAAGTTCTGTTCATCATATGTCCGTGTAACTGATGAAGGTCGTGAGATCGAAATCTTCTAGCTTAAGTGTTAAATTTTGTAACCAAAAGTTGTCTATTTCCAGTCTCTGTTTTAACTACAGATTTTTATATTTTTATATCCTTTTGGTTACAATAACTTGCGTTAACTAGTATAGCCTAGAAAGCACAGAATAATCATCATTAAGCTACTGTCAAGTCGACTAAATAACGGAAAGTACTCATTTACAACAGCTTTTTTCATTAAATATACTTATAATGGTCAGTGTGAACTGGGCACGGTGGGTGACCTAAGAATCTGCTTGCCTGTTTTTCGCCTTTAATTAATAAGTGCAGTATTCTTTTTTTTTTTTTTTTGTAGTTGCACCAAGCCAGCCAGAGAATGTGGTAGTTATTTCTAAGAGCTCGCGAGCCGTAAATATCTCTTGGACACCTGGTTTTAGTGGCAACAGTGATATTCGTAACTACACTGTTGAGATTAGTAGAGATATTGTAACGTTTGCAGAGGCTAGATGTGAAGGGCTGTCAAGTAGTGGATGTGTGATACCTAACTCCTCCACAAGTGCTTCTCTTGTAGACCTACATCCTGGAAGGACATATTACATACGGGTGTTTGCTACTAACAGAGTTGGTTTCAGTACTCCCAGCTTACTAATCACCACAACCACAGATGAAGAAGGTACTTGTTGAATAAAATAGCTCAGCTGCTTTTAAGGTTCTGGTAAAATAAGTTACTAACGTTGTACGTGTAACTTGATTTACATGTTTGTATGTAAATTAAATTAAGTTATGGTCACTGCTTTAGAATTTGTACAGTTCTTTAAAAGGTTTTGCAATGTAGTATGTGTGGTTAAAGAGTGTAAAATTATTAAAAGGATTTAGATGACTATCTTCAACAAGAATGAACTCAATGTGGTCTGGTACAGCAGGGTATTCGGGGTAAAGTTTTGGACTTTCAGCATGTCCTTTGTTTTCTCCAGACCTAAAGCACACCTTTTTTAATTTTTTCCCCTAAAATACTACAGAACAACAAACAGGAATTCAGCAATCCTTCAGTAGCAGGAACTTTCCGATAATTACTGAGGACTGAAAAACATTTTTCTGTCTAGATAGGACATTATTGTCTGACCTGATAAAGCTGTGCCATTTACAGTGTAAGTCGGACAAACCAGAAAGACTGAGAAGGGCATATCTTAATGCTTATCTCCAATTTCAAAATGATAGTCCCTGATAACATCTAATCTGCCCAGTCATAATGTCCTACCACGAGTGGGAATTAGGTCGGACATGACTAAATTTACTCACGTGTTAAAAACACGGTAGCAAGTAGATGAATATTTTTAGGCTGATTTTAATGCATGTGCTATGGTTTTTGGAAAAAAACAAATATTTTGGTGTTGTTGTTATTGCAGTACCAAATGCTCCCCCAGCTAATATCACAGGAAACAACATAACGTCTACCAGCATTTTTGTTCAGTGGCATGAAGTACCAGCAGATAATCAAAATGGTATTATAGTGAATTATACAATCACCTACACAGAAGTGCCCAGTGGTAATTCAAGAAAGGAGATAGTGATTGCTCCAAGCACAAATGTTACATTGACAGGATTGAAAATATTTACCAACTACAGTATCACAGTGTTTGCATCTACTGCCAAGGGGGATGGAAATAGAAGTGAACCTATTATTGTCATTACAGATGAAGACCGTAAGTACAATTCTGGTGTTTATTTGTCTATATATAGATCGGTTTTAGATCTCTAGGATCTCTAGGATACAAAATGGAGATCTCCAGTCCTTTTAAAAGTTGTTTTTCTTCTACTTTTTATTCATTATGAAACTGGAAACACTTTCTGAAAACACTTGCTTGTGTCCTCTCTGATAAAAAATTATACATGCGAAGCTGGTCTACAGTACCTTCACAATGATGAGCATGTTGACAAACTTTGTTCAAAAGTCAATCGATCCATCAGTGGTCTGAAACAGGCATGGGATTATGTACCATTAGATGTTCTAAATTCTATTTACAAATCTCTTATCCAGCCTGTGTTCGACTACTGTGACATTGTTTGGGACAATTTAGACCAGGGACATGCCACTAGGATCCAGAAATTACAAAATCGTGCTGCACGCATAATAACCTTTCAAGGTTATGACGTTCATTCAGCACAAATACGAAAACAACTAAACTGGGAAGAGCTTGCCTCAAGGCGTCAAAGGCACCTACGTCTATTAATGTATGATACAGTGAATGGAAATGTACCTAGTTACTTAAGCAATCTTTTCTCGAATGTCTGTGAGAACAACCCTTATAAGTCTAAGTTAAGAAATACCGAATATAATGTTGTACTGGACCACATTCCAAAAACAGAATATTATAAAGGGTCTTTCTCATACAGAGGAGGAATGCTGTGGAATTCATTACCAAATGACATAAAAGCGTCCGAATCTAAAGCTATCTTTAAAAGAAAACTAGCTAGTAGGCAGGCAAACTGTTGACTACATTTTACCAAATTTTATTATTTGTACATATTTTTAGTGTAGTTGTACAGTATTTACTTCTGTTTCCATACGGCTTTCATGTAAAGAAGTTATGTAACTTATGAAATTACCGTATTCAAATAAAAGTGTATCAATCAATCAATCAATTGCAGTGCAGTTAAGTTGGGCAGTGCGTTTGCCTGTACAAGCTATTGTTCTTCATAGCCAGAAATTTCGGACAACATGGCTACCAACATGGCCACAGGCATGGGCAGATAACACAAAAAGAGATTGATTATGGAAGAACATAAAAGCAATATGGGATAATTTTTTTACTCTCCTATAAAAAGTATGGGATAATTTTTTTTTTCGTATATTTTTTGGAATTTTCACACAAATGGCCACATTACCCAGCTTAGAAATTGAAAGACCAATGATCAAACTAAATTTTCATCGAAAAAGAAATGAAGTTTATTTCACAGGAAAAAATAACAGATTCCCATTTTTGAATATTTCAGAGTATTTAAAGAATACCCACAAAAATCCCAAATTTGGAAGAGTGAGACTATTCCCAACTAGGGAACTTGGTTGGGAATTCCCTCGTTGGGACTTGTCTCACTTTGCCAAATTTGGGATTTTTATGGGTATTCTTTAATTAAATACCCTAAAATATCCAATAATGTGAATCTGCTATTTTTTTCCTGTGAATTTCATTATAGCCACTGCCTTTTATGATCAAAATAACTCTATACTATACAGACAAAATGAAGCTCTTACTAACCTTTTAAAACAGCGCTTACCTTCATACTTCTCTAAGCGTGAGGAGAAAACATTCTTGTCCCGACAAGTTTTTGAATTCCCAGCTTCCCATCAAAACATACAACGTTAATCTTGCAAAATAAACGTTTTTCTCTCGAAAAACCACTCACTAAGGCACTGCCTTTTTACAGCGAAAATTAGGCTCTTTTGTAAGTGAAACCAATGAAGAATCGAAGCCATCACTGAGGGTAATATGCTCCAGAGACAGTTAGTTTTCCTTCTATTCGGTAGCTCTTCAGACGCCATTTTTTTCTACCTCGTTTCAACGGGTCATCTGTATTCGCCAGTAAAACGATAAGTACGTGGTGTAACCATCATTTAGTGGTTTCACGTTGGTGACTTTCGAAAAAAGGCGGGTAACAGTTGTGGGGAAAAAGAAATAAAATTTCATATATGGCATGTCCTTCGCTAACTCAATACTCTTTCCGGTCAGTATAAAACATGGACTGTGGACTGGGTATAAAATACGGACTGGGTATAAAATGAGGACTTCGGACTTAATTAGTATAAAACACGGAATAGGTATAAAACGCGGACTACGGACAATGTATATAAAAACAGCTTTAGAAAGGTAAAACTGACAGAAATGGAGAGCGGAGTAGCAAAAACAGTAGTCCCAGCTTTAACATTCCCTTGGCTGTTCACGTAGTTTATTCTTCCCACGGAGAAGGAAGGTTATGCCGGTACTCAAGGCAACTGAAATTAAACTCTGAATTTTATAAAAAGAATGAGTTAGAAGAGATTTCAATTTGCAGTTTTAAACCAATAAGAAGCACCGAATTATAAAAAAAAAATAGTATTGGTGTTAGTCAGATCAGTAAAATTCTTATCGGACGCCACAATTCAGTTTCAAAGAAAGCCTTGGGAATATGAGGACTGAATGAAGAACTCAGACGAGAAGGTCAATGTAGGGCATTCCGCGATGCACAAAAGCAGTATTTAGTGGGGAGGGACTACTCACATACGTGAATAATAACCGGAATGAGTCATCCAACGTTGTATTCTAAGCGATGATATGATGACATGATTTACACCATGCTCCTGATTCCCGGACGGGGGTACTACTGGGAATTCTTGGTGGGGGTGTGGTGCCCGCTTCTCCGAATCCTGACCTTATTGCGGATATTGCAGACAAAAAATGTCATTTTCCACACCCGTTTTCAGACCAGATCACTAAAATCCATACCCATTCTCGGACCTGGCCTAATTTAGCCTGTTCCAGGCTCTCAGATAGTTGGGAAGACTCCCCAAATTTCTCCCGTTTTATTTTCGTGTTTGCGCTTTTTCAATTCAGAGGACCCAACTATCTCGGAACCTGGAACAGGTTAGGTCTAATTAGGCAGAAATTGCGTCATCATTACCAAGTTAGAGCGGAAACAAAAAATTCTCCAAATGCATTTCGATTTGGCACATTTCTAGTTCGTTCTTATTCATTTGGAATTGATTCGATAAGTACGTCCATTCATATACGCTCCCGTAGTTCCCTCGAAAACCATACCCGATTCCAAACCAAAATGGGCAAAGTATTTTCAGACCAAAAAGGCCCAAAATCCCTACCCTTCCCTTATATAAGGGAGTACCCCCTGATTCTGACCCCTTTCATGATTGTTAGAAACCGAGACAAGGTCTAAAAATGGGTGAAGAAAATAGCATTTTGACCGGCTCATGACTCAGAGAACCGGGCGGCACTCCTCCACCAAGAATTTATAGGAGTATTTAAAACTTTAACTCACGTGTCTTGCCATTTAGCGATCTTTTGATCTTATTTTTCCTTACCTAGAACCAATTAGCACCGTTTTTTCCAAAGTAGTCCGTAGTCCGTATTTTATACCTGGTCCACAGTCCTCAGTCCGCGCTTTATACCTAGTCTGTGTTTTATACTCAGTCCGTATTTTCCAGTCCGCGTTTTATACCTAGTCCGTATTTTATACCCAATCCGCAGTCCGTAGTCCGCAGTCCATGTTTTATACTGACCTATACTCTTTCTTTTTCATACAAAGGGCCTTTCTTTGACTCTTTCTTTGCTGACATTCGATTATTTAGAAAACCTGCGGTGCTCACATCATTTAAATCCTTGCCTTATAAAAGCCCCTGCTTACTCTTTAATTCGCTCTAACTTGTGGAGGAGCAAAAAAGGGAGGAGAGAAGGTGGAAATTTCTTTTGGGGTAAAACAAGCCTGTTTGCCTTCTTCCTTAATAAATATGCACGCCGTTTGCGCGCCAAGAATCAATAAACCGGAACTAGAATGACAGCAGCAGAAACAAACTTGCATAATTACTTTACGACTGACTGACGAGTTAGCACTTATTCCTTACACGCCATGAATTGACCACAACGTTTCTTATTTTATAATCAACCAAACGAAAACCAAGACATTTACCGACCTTGAAGTAACAAGAAAACCTGCCAGGCCGGTATAAATCACTTAAAAGTAGCACATGACCATCTTAATTAGATTCCTCCGCATAAAGATAAAAGGCTATGACGTCATCGGCGCTAATGTATTCCCCATCAAGTTAATGAGATTCCTTCGCACAAAAGGGGTTAATTCGGTCCAATTACCACTAGATAGGTAGACGAACATGTTCAGATCTGATTTTAATACATGTGCTATGATTTTTGGAAAAATTGTTTTGGTGTTGTCGTTATTGCAGTACCAAATGCTCCCCCAGCTAATATCACAGGAAACAGCATAACGTCTACAAGCATTTTTGTTCAGTGGAATGACATACCAGTAGACAATCAAAATGGCATAATAGTGTATTATACAATCACCTACACAAAGGTTCCTGGTGGTAACTCAGGAACGAAGATAGTGATTGCTCCAAGAACAAATACTACATTGACAGGATTGAAAAAATTTACCAACTACAGCATCACAGTGTTTGCATCTACTGGCAAGGGAGGTGGCAATAGAAGTGACCCTATTATTGTCATTACAGATGAAGACCGTAAGTGGTGAATTTCTGGTGTTCATTAATTTTGTTAATATGTATTCATTTCAGATCTCTAGCCATACAAAATGCAGATCACTACTTTTAAAAGTTGCTTTTTTATTTGTTTTGTCTTGTTTGTTTTGTTTTTTTTTTCATTTTATTCATTATAAAATGGTAAACACTTTATCTTGAAGGGGAAAACACTACCCTCCCATATTGAACATGCAAAGCTGGCCTGGAGGAGCTTGACAATTACAGCTGTGTATTTTAGGCAGTGCGCATGTCTGTCCTATTGTCCTCTTCCATGACAATCCTACATTTATTAGGAGCCGTTACATTAGACTTTTTTCCCAAAGCACCCATTGCGGAAATAGCTTAAGTTGGGTTCGCTCCGGGATGTTATCAATTTCATGTTTGCGGTAACACAGCCATAAATTGCCCAAGGGGAAAAAATCTTTAAGCCTGGTTCGCTGTAACCGTTGATGGCTGACATAAATCGTAAAAAGGTTTTGAGCACTTTTAATTTCACCGTTTTAACAAAAAAAAAAAGAAAGAAAGGAAGAAAACAATTTTCATCAACATCAAGTAGAACCGGCTCAATCAAGCTATCCCAATTTTTTTTTTCTGATTTTTCTTCTTAGGTCCAAGCGGTTTTCCATTGAATCTAAGACCAGTGGATACATCTTTCAGCAGTATTTTGGTTGCCTGGAATGAAGTTCTCAGTGCAGCCCAAAACGGTATCATATTAACGTACACGGTTAGGTTTCAGGCGATAGAAAGTGCGGGAGTAAATTCATCCACATCAATCAATACAACAACAGTTGATTCCCGTTTGCTGCAAGCCAATCTGACGAATCTTAAAAATGACACGAAGTACAACATCAGCATTTTGGCGTCCACTATTAAAGGAAATGGACCCTATAGTGACCCCATCTTTGTTACAAGCAATCAAGAGAGTAAGTCACTTTCTAATTAGCGTAGTTATAAGGTGCAAACCTGAAGAAGGGGCATCATATATCTTAACGTGTAAACATAAAGTGTCATACGATTCATTATGCTTTCTGTCTTTTTAGTGACCAATATATACTCAATTATATGGATCTCATTCTTCCTTTAAGAAAAGCTTACATATTGGACTTCCTCAAACATATGATGTACACGTCCGCATAAGGATGACGTCATTTCTCATAAAAACGTCTAGTCTCAGTAAACTGGAGAAAGATTCGTGTGGTTTTGGCTTCAAATGCATTTCATTTTATTTAGCTTTACCTAAAGAGGACATGACATTAAGCTTGATGAGCCTCGCCTACGTTAAAGGACAATGATCTGTGATACACATTCTTCTTCTTCATCATCTTCTTT